TGTTTCCCGTTGCAATTCAAAGGGTTGATTCTAGCCATGCAGAAAATGCCTTTCGTCATGGTTGTCATACACATCACTTCCTCATGCACATTTAATGACATCCAATGCAAATATATACATAACATGCATAATATAAACTAGCATTTTCTCCAGCTAACCATCCCAAAGTTTGTATTCCAGAGGATCAGCCATTTTGATCAAGTTTTGTTTCAACTGATGTAACCTGCAAATTACAGAGCAGTGCACTGTAGCTGGGTAAACAAGCTGTGAGAGTCTAGCCGTGGCAGCAGAAGCCTCAGCCCACATACAGTGCCTTGTGGCTGAGTATATTAACCTGCAGGCAAGTGCCTGTCTCAAGGCTCAAGGTTCCTGGCAGTAAAGTAGTTTTGGGTGCTCTTTGCCATATGCCATGTCTCTCTTGGCTGTTTCCCTGTCACCAGCTTTGAGCTGAGTGGGGTTTAGACGGGTGGTTATGCTGGTGGATGAGAAGCTGCTGACAATGGGAGGAAGTGTGGCAAAGCAGCATGTTTGGCATACATTGCAGGCTTACATGCACCATGGAGGGAGGATAAGATGGATACTGGCTCAGCAAAGCAAAGCTAAAGTTGGCAGACTGCAGAGTTAGTGGCTGTTTCTCTGTGTTCTCAAAATCGTCGGGTGAGAAGCCTGCTACTCATGGATGATGTGCTGGTTAATTCTAACAATTACATAAGCGAGAATATTACAATTGTTGTACTGTGTTATTTAAAAGGACTGATTAGAGAGTCACTGCTTCTTTTAAACCTTCAAACCCAGGAGCCTATGACACTGAATCTAAGGAGAGACTGAAGGACATGCTGGTGCATACTGTTCCACCTGCTACATTCACTCCTTCCAGTTGTGTGGACAATTGGGAAGCCTTAGTGACAGTAGGCTTGATGCAGGTGTTACCACGGCATGAGATGAACTTCAGGGGTAATGTTCCAGTCCTTCTGGTGCTGACACCTCTAGACAGTAGGGAAAGAAGTGCACAGTGGTATGTTTTTGCCATAAGCATTGCCTACAGTTTAGTGACAGATGGACTTAGTCTCCAAAGCTCAAGTGAAATGAAGCAGTGTCTCAGAAGGACTCTGTAGGGCAAGAAAGAAGAGATGGTACAGCTGAGCAGCCTTTGGGCATTTCAATGTTCAATATTTGAATGTAGGCTGGGCAGAAATAGTTTCTGTGGACCATATAGCTAAATTCCTCCATAAAATTGTGATGGTGGGAAGTTGTGTGGAAACCTAGTGGTGGAAGGAGATAAAAATAAATTGGAAAGTAATTTGAGAAAACTGTTTACTAGGAGAGTGTTAAAATGGTAGAGAAACTCAAACCAATGTGTCCAGGAAACATAAGTTAGCAAATGGATTATGAGCTGACCTTGTTCTAGAAGCTAAAACTGTGTAGTTTAGCAAAGGACAGAGAAAGGTCTCTGTTTCCTGATAAGAGCAGAGTACTGAATTTGTTATCTTGCTGGATGTTTTGCTTTCTAAAAGGTGGGATAAATAATGAGTTATTTTGATTTTTTTTGATTCTTAATAAAAGAAGCAAAATTTTGATTTGGTCAGAGAGTGAAAGTAACATTCTAAAGGAGGACTGTAACATAGCAGCTGAGTTACCTTGGAAACGGTATGAACCTTCATCATGCAGGTTGCATTAATAAATAGGTAATTAAGAATACTTGTAACAAGGCATACATCATGTGGTATTGCATCAGACTAAGTCAGTGTGTATTACCTTGAACTCTAGCTCTACAGGGACAAACCATTAGCTAGTAAAATAAACACAGGTCCAGTCATTTTAAAAACCATTAATAACTTAAAGCAAATAAGTTAGGAGCTCACTCATATCAAGATTGCCATGAAAGGTTGTCCAGCTCTGCTAGGCTGCAATATGTACAAATTAGGAAGGGAGAGGTGATGAGAAGAATGACACATTCTTTTGCTTCAATACAATATAAAAGTTGCAGACTGTGTCAAAGTTTGACTCAAACACACTGGTTGACCAAGAAGAAGGAATCCTTAATATATGAAAAGCTATACAATAGGTTAAGCCAGAGGTCTTTCTAGACCAGCACTTAATTCCTTCCACAAGCAGGTGTTTAGAGAAAGACTAAGAACAGGAGAGGGATTAATTAATCAATAAAGTAAAAACAGTTTTTGAGGAGTCAGAAGTTTAGAGCCTCTCTGAACTTCAAATACACCCAAAATACTTTGCTCAACCTTGTTTAAAGGTTCTTCAAGAATAAATGCTTTTTTAATCCTTCTAGATATTTAGCATTCGAACCCATCTCCATAAGAATGAGTTTTATGAGTGTAAATCATATGAGAAAGTGGTTCCTTGTGCTGGTTTTAAACCAGTTGCCCCATAGTTCTTGTTTCATAAGAAACAGTAAAGAATAACTGTTATTAACCTCAATATCATTTTATACATTGGTAGCTTCTTTTTCAACTGAAAACACTGCTCAGTGAGCTCTCTTCATATAAAAGCTGGGATTTACACTTTTTTCTTTCTACTCTGTCCTTTTTGAAGGAATATTATAAATGAAGGGTTGTACAGATACTGGCTGTACTATGGATTTATATAGCAGCAAGCTGTTATTTCTGTTTTTCCTAATGAGCTTATCACAGCTGTTTGTTTGATTACCCTTGAACACTGACTGGGATGGAGTTTTCAGAGGACAATTTAAAATGTCTCCAATATCTCTTGCCTGAGAGGCTATAGCTAATTTATAGATCATCATGCCTGCATAGTAAAAGCTATTTCCTCCCCATGTGCTTTACTTTGGCTTTTTGCAAGATTAAATTTCAGGTGCCATTTTATCAGTGATGTAGTCACTACTGTGATATCCTTCTGCTATTTTTCACATTTGATTCTAGTTTTAACTATAAGCAAATGAAGAGATTCTGATTTAAGAAGATACTGAACAACAGAGAACTCAACTCATAGTGGTTTCCCTCTATTTGAGAATTGCCCATTTATTCCTGTGCTTCATTTCCCATGTACTAACCAGTTTATAACCTACAAGAGGAATTCTTTTGTTACCACATCACAGCAATCCTTCTAGCAGCAGTGAAGCATGTTTTATGATTTAGCAGAACTATCTGGGGGCATAATACACTTACAGCCTGTTATCCCTTTTATTTCAGAAACTTCCTGATAAGTGCTACTTGAGTTTTATTGTACAGAAATGTACGAAGAGGCTTATCTGTTCTTGTGTAAGGTCACTTTCTTTTCCTGATGAATTTCTGAGTAATTATGTTCCAATGAATTCTGTGGAAGGCAGAAAATATTACATTGATTACCTGTAATGTAGAACATACACATGAAATGTGTTGATGTGGCTGATGTGGTGACAAAATTGTTCCACAATTTTGGCCTGTCATTGTAACATTATGAATACAAGTGAAGGGATCTCATCTTTATTTCCACCAAGCAGGATCTGAGCTTCCCAAAGGAGCATTCCTTGTTCATTTAAATGTTTCCTGAAAACTGTGGTCATCAAAAGTAGAGTTGAGCCTAAGAATGAGGATTTTCTTGTTGTGGAAATGGAGTTTCTTTCCCATAGTGGGAATTTTACATGACCATCTCAAGTAACAGACGTGGAAAAATAGTTACTCTAAAATATTTTAAAAATAGTTAAGTTCTTAATCTTTGTCTGTTCTGCAAGAGTTGAGTGTTATATGTCCAACCCATGGAATATTAAAATTCAAGTTTCCAGACTGCAGTGCCTTAGTATTTGACTACAACATGAGAAGTTTAACCACCCAAAATTCAGGATCACGTTGCCCAACATTTCAGCTACCCAACCACAACACATATGGTAGGATTTTTCAGAGAGAAAACTGGGAGAATCTAAGTTAGGATCTGTCCTCTCTGTGCTGATTTATATGAGGAATGTACATATCTAACTGTGTGTGGATTTGGATAGTTTGAGTATCTTTAGAGGGGCAGAACAGAAGGCACATGTGATACTCTACAGTCAAAATATCTCTAGGAGAAAGGATTGTTAAAACTTTCCACAGGGTTAAAGCAGAAAAGCTAAGGCTGAGTTTATACTTTTCAAGGACTCTCGAGTCTCCTCTACTTTTCAGATCTACAATTATAAAATGACAAGAAGAACAGTTACATCTCTGGTACGCTGGGAAGATACACATTGTAACATAACTGAGGCACTTGTCTAAGACAGCATGGATGGCCACAGAAGTGATTCGTGGGTCTGGGCTGACTGTACAGGATCTGCTTAGCTTGTTATGGTGATCTTGAGGTTACATCCTCTCCTTTCAGGAGGTGTGGACTAGTAGTATTTTTTGGTAAAGTCTGGATGAATGGCATGACTCATGTGGTATGTTGATACACACTACCTGCTGTGGGTTGAGCAAGAATACTGTGTTCCTGAGTGCTGGGCACAGCACCCAGCTCACGAGTGCGGGCACGACTGCGCTGCCGCTGTAGTGTACCCCGGACAGTCACCTCCTCGGTGGCGACGGGGCACAGCTTGTGCAGGCGTCAGCCACACGCTTTGTGGCTCGAGCAGCCCGCTGTCCGCCGCCGTCCCGGCGCGCATCCCGCCGCTGCTCGGGTGAGCGCCTGTCATGTGGCGGGCGCGTCACGGGGGGCGCGGTGCGGCCGCCGGGGCCGGAGGCGGTCTCGGTGTGCGCTCTGCCCCCGCCACACGCGTGGGTCTGCACGCCCGCCCCGCACCCGGCCACCGTGTCCTTCGGGGTCACTCCCCGTGTCGCACGGCGTGTGCCGGCCGCGGGCACCATGCAGTCGGTGTGCGTGCTGTGCCTGTCCCCGTTCGCCCTGTGCCTCCGCGTGTGTGTGTGCGGCCCCCGCCCCTGCGCGGCCCCCGCCGCAGCAGCGAGCCTCGGGGCACCGACCGCCGCCCAGCTCCCCGCAACGCCCGGCGAGGAGGAGGCGGCGCGGCGGTTCACTCGCCCGCCGCGGCCCAGCCCCTTCTCCCCCGGGCGCCGCCCCTCTCCGCGCCGCCTGTGAGTCAGGGCTTTGCCGGGCACGGGCGGCAGCCGGGGCCGGAGCGGACGGGCAGCCTCCGCCGCGGGGCTCCATGGAGAAAGCGGCGGGCGAAGGCGGCGGCAGCAACAGCAGCAGCCGCAGCAGCAGCCGCCCCACGTCGGCGGGCTCGTCCCCCTCGTCCTCCTCCGCCAGCCGCGGGACCGGGGGGCGCGCAGGCGCCCGGCGGCGGCAGGCGGCGGGAGTCGGTGCTGGAAGGGACGCTCAGCAAATACACCAACCTCCTGCAGGGCTGGCAGAGCAGGTAAAGCGCCGGGCCGGCCCCCGGCGGCGCTGCGGGGCCGCGTCCTCGCCCCCCGCAGCCCCCAAGATGGTGCCCGGGCAACGGGCGCTGCCCGGCCCGACCCCAGCCCTCCGGCCGCCGCGTCCCGAGGCCGGGCTCCGATCCCCTCTGCGCCCGCTCTCCTTCCTTTTGTTTGACTTGTTTATTTTCCCAGCTGAGTTTGGCGTAAGGGCGGCGGGGAGGTGGCCCGGCGCAGGGTCGGAGCGGGGTCCCCGGCGCGGCCGCCGCAGGTGCGGGCGGGGGCAGGGAGGGCTGAGGCTGCACATACTGCTGGCCCTGCATGACAGGGCTCCGCTTTTAAGCTCCTTTCTCTATCACGTTAGTATCCGTCTCCTGTGAAGTTAGCTTGGATAACTAAAGAATGAAAAACTGAGAGCCTCCCAAAATAAATGGGGAGAAATGACGTGTTTGTGATTATTACTATTATTTTTTTCGCTATGAGGTGGGACAGCGGAAACAGTTACCTTTGTTTCAATAAAATAACTTCTGTTGCTATGTCCTACCTGTTTGACAAGCCCTAATTTATGCTGGTATGGTGACAGGCCCAGGTCCTGCCATTTGTTGGGTGTGGACAGGCTGACTTGCATCTGTGGAAGTCCCGAGGAAGGTCTGGTTTTGGTCTAGCTGTAGTGTAAAATTTTTACAGAGTTGGAGGTAGACTGTGGAGTTAATAGTGCTGTGTTGGGATCTGTTGAAAGCAAAAGGGATTTGCTGTGATGTTTTACTTTTTGTTGCTCAACTTTGTCGTCTTAGTGGATTGACAAAGATGTGTGTGTCCAAAATGCAATTTCTCAGTATAAAGCAACGCTGTGGTGATTTTAAAGAGAAGAAGATACTACAGAGAGAACAAGTACGGGACTAGTTATAAAGCTCTCTACAGACCTTTAAGAAAACAAACAAAAAGACTAAAACCTGCTGTTACTTATATTAGGTGATCACAAGCAATAGGAACACAGGAATGGCTGGGATCTTGAAGTTCTGACAGTAAATTTAAAGCATTTATGAGTGACAGAGTTGCATAAATGCCGGTGATGCTCTGGTGCTGAATCGTGTGTGGCTAAATCAGTGCTAGGACTACTGTAGCAGTACTTCCTGGAGAATTCCGGGAGCTGGTCTAATTCCATACACTGGAGGCCTGCGTAGCTGTACCAGCTATAAATTAAAAAAGTTTGGTGTGAGCTGGAGACACACATCTCCATTAAGATTAACTGCTTCAGCAGAGACATAGAGAAGGCCTTTTGCTGTCATTTGGTTACTGTAGTTCTGTTCTAGATGCACATTAGACTTTTACCTATTTGTTGGTTTATATAGTCCTCCTGTAGCTTTTTTTAAGAAACAAACACATTTTGATACCTAAAATGTAGGACTGAAATCCATGACTAAAAAGTATAAGCCCTCTTCCTCTCTTTTTTCCCCCTGACACCTCCTTCTCTTTTTATAGAGACAGTAGCTTCTTTTATTGTGTGTGATTATAAGGAATTTTAAAAGAGAGCTAATTGCTTATAAATCTTTGGGTCTAAAGCTGCCTGGTTTTTGTATTTGGAAACATTGTATCTTTGATAAGGCTAACAGCTGGAAATAGTGTGTATAATCTGTGCATGTCCAAGAAATTTTACCTGAAAACATGATGGAAAGAAGACAAATGTCGCCTAAACAGTTTGACCACAGCACTTAGAAATTAATGTTGGTTTACTTTCAGCAGTCTTTTTTAATAGTGCTTTATTGTGCTTTGTCAATTGCCAGTTTTATTTTCTGTAAGTCTGGCTTTTTGAGCAAGTGGTTTATCATGAGACAGCTTTTAGGATAAATAACTTTTTTAGTTTGCTCACTTACTCTGTTCTTTTCATGTGTGTAGCTGTGGTTTGGGGTGTGGAATCTGATACAAGTTCTAACCATATCAGTTGAAACTTGAGGCTCACAGAAGTTCATCTGGTTGTCCGTTTGGCCTTCTGTTATTCCATTTGTCATGGAATGTGTTTACTGTGAATTGGAGCTCATTCTGTAACAGTCTGTAAGCGACTTCGTAGCTGGCACTTGCAGCATATTTGTTAGCAGACAAATTAGTTTTGCATTTACTTCATTTGAAAAAACACAAGATTGTTCAACTGCATGATCAATACAACCAGATGGCATGAATATAAATAAAATGGAAAAATAAAGTGAAAACTGACAGAGTTCACTTATCGTGGATTTGGAATGTTCTTCTTTAAAGCTCCTTATCCATTAGCCTGAATAATTTAAATGTAGTTAATGTTAGCTCTTGCCATGTGGTATTGAAGTTGAAAGGCTTTCTTAGGTTATCCAACACTTAGTGTGTAGAGTAGCCTTTACAAGTCTGAAGTAATTTGAATTATAATAAAATAGTGTTACTTCTGAATAAATGTTCCTTTAGCAGGCATATGCAAGATAGTCTGATAGTGGATGAGGGAACTGAATATGATTACTGAAGCATAACACTTTTATAAGTGTTTATAAGCATTAACTGAAGTAATTGAAGGCCTCAAAATCAGCCAATCTGGATAGCTGCATTACTTCTTATTTTGAGATTTCCAAGTGTTTGTTGTTTGTTACTAAAGAAATCCATTTGTTCTGCTCTAGCAGATCAGGAACAACCCGATCTGGAAATGAGTGAGGTGATTCCCCACCTTTATGACAAGCAGAAGGAGAAGGTGGTTTTTTGTTTTGTTGTTTTGAGGCAGTTTGTTGTGTGAGAAACATGTCAAGGGGTCTGGGCATTTGCAGTATCTCCACTTGAATCTGTAAATTTCTGTGGATTTATTCAGGTATGGATACAGAGAGTGGAGCTTAATCTGAAACAGACTCTTTGACATAAGAACACTTATGTCTGGTCTGAGGCATTAGGGCATCTGGCTGTCTTTACTATGAAATTACAAGTAATTGTGTTCTCAATTGAAGTACTGTTACAAATAATTTCTATTGGGATTTACTTGTTACTTTTGTATGGGAGGGTAGAGCTTGTATTTTAAGCAGGAATTATGTGATTTGATGGACAAATATGTCTCTGTAGTGTCATCTCATTTCATGCAAGACCTATTTTTCATTAATTAATTTGAAATTATTGAAATACTTATTGCCTGTTACATTACTATCCTGTCTTTTGAGTAGACTGGCAAAACGTTGTAAAAAAATCTTAAAAACCCCCATTTGCTCAAGGTAATGGGAAATTCACAGTGTTTGCATCCTCCTCTATGATTTTTCCCTGAAAATACTTAGTACTTGCACTTGTAGGGTTTTATCCTGCAAGTGTGTATAAAGTCCTGAATCATCTGCATTTGAGCTGGGACTTAAATCGGGGTTTGTAACAACAATAAATGGAGCCCTGGCTGATGGATGTTGTTGCTTTTCTGAGCTGAACTGCTTTGTCTAAGTTGTTCTGTAGCCCAGGTGGTTTTTTTTAAACATTATTTTGGCCTACTCTTGTTTCCTGTCTCAGTTGGGAAATGTATTGTGTTACCAGCCTGCATGAATCATGCCTGACTTCTTGTGCTTGGGCACCACCAGACTTCTTTTGGGGATTAACTGCATTCCCTGTAGGTCAACAAAAAGTGTACTTTGGGGCAGTCTGGGGATTTTTTTCACTCAGAATCTTTATCAGGCTCTCCAATGCTGTGGTGTAATCTCTTTTCTTGTGTAAAGTTTTCTTCTGACTCCTGCCACAAGAGAAAGACCCTTTCTTATTACCAGTGCCCCAAGCAGCAGGTAGCCTTCAGATTTTAGTGCCACTTTAGGAGCTGATTTCACTGGCTCCCAGAGCTTGTGCTGCTCTCACTGCAGCTGTTACAGGAGGGTTTTCTATATATGCTGACAAAATGTGTCTACAGTGTATTGTGCTGTAGCACAAAAATCTGCGTGTAACATTTTTATTTTTTTTTTATAAATTTCAGAGAAACAGATTGTGGCCTCCTAGAAGAATTGACAAAATTACCTTCAAACACAGTAATAACCTCCTTCTCTCTCTTTCTGAACCAGCTAACTAGTCTTTCACAGTTTTGTGATTGACACATCTGCTTGTGGAGTTTTGGGGTAGTGAGCACCTCTAGTGCTTGCTGGTATTCTTCAGTATAGTATATACTATATATAATACTATATATAGTATTCTTCAGTGGTACCAGTCAAGTTGTTCAAGCAATGAATTGGGGCATTTTTCCAGTATAAAAAAAATACTGAACAAACTATATGACTATGGTATACCTGTGTAGCTGCTGAGGGAGAAATCTGTCCTAGAGAAATCAACTGGGGTTTTTTAGTATAAAAATAAGCCACATTCCTAATAAGCCATATTAGCCATATTAAATAGCCTAACAATAATCAGTGTCTGAGAAGGAGAAAACAGCCACACAATTAATTTAATGTTTGCAAAGTTCGCTGGAATTTTTTGTGTTCTTAGTGGAATTAGATTAACACAGCTCCACCACTGTGTATTTTTTCATCTTAGTGTGATTCTGTAGCATGTCTGTCCAGGGCTTTGTGTAGTGTTGTAACACCCTCCAGGATTTATTTGCAGAGTCTGTGCACAGGGAGACTCCCTTTTAAGGAGCTGGAGATACAATATATTCTGTTTCTTCTGTTGTTCTCCATCTCCTGCATGAATTTTGGAGCCTTGCTTATAATTTGTTAGGAATTGTGTAAACCTTAAAGTATCAAGGTGTTTTTATACTATAGTGCTTACAATCTATTAAAGATTTTACTTGCAAAATAGATTTTAATGGAGACTGTGTTATCCCTTCACTTACAGGCTTTCTTTGTAGTAGGAGGCAATGTGAAGAGGAAGAAATCTACTTAAACCCAACTTATTTTAGTTCTCTGGAGTAAATGATGTTTCCTGTGCTAAACACTCAGTAACTGCATATTTTACATTATTTAAATCATGATCTATGTCATTATTCTTAAATAAACTTGGAATTTGAAATACCAAAAAGTCAGTTATTAGTAAGTTCTGT